CGAAAATTCGTCAGCCACGGATTCGATCCGTCGACTCGCGATTAATTGGCGATTAATTGGCGATTAATTGGGGAAAATTTGTAAACGCTCGGTAGGTACCGGATCGAGTCTGTCTCGTGGAAAAGAAAGGCGAAGGACCATCGAGATTGCGCGGGTCGGTCATCGTTTCGAGCGGTCTGCGATCAAGTTGGAACTGGTACGAGGCGGAAGCTTGAAAACGCGTGGAAATCGTTCGTGTCGCTGACGTGATTCGTCGATGATCTCGTTGAGCCTCGAGTGCCAAGTGGATCCAAGTGGATGCAGCGGTAGGTGCAAGCCAGGCCGATGTAGGCGTACGCGCGGATTCTGTTCGACGCATGCAGCATCATCGGTGCCATTTTGCTCGGGCATCGATTGTAAACAGGAGAGTTTATGCGCCAACGATGGTGGATTCCCATCGCTGAACGATGACGCTCGTTGGCAGGGAAAAGGAGCGACGAGATGGAGAAGGAGAGAGAATGGAAGCCGATGGTGGTTGCGGTCGTAGCGGCGGAACGACGGTGGCGATGACGTCGGTGGCGGCGGTAACGCGAGAGGGGCGAGGCTGCATCAACGTCGAGTGTACATTACTCGAGCACGGGTTTATCGCAAATAATTGCGCGGACCTTATTCGCATTTTAGCGTATCGAAATCGCGGGTCGGTGTTGCAGGCGATCGAGACCCGTGGGTCGGGTGCAGGGCAAATATTAATTTAAATGGGTTTTCAACCCCTCTATCCGTGGCACGGTGTTCGCGTATCAACGAGGGAACAGTCCAGCTTCGGTTTCCGGAAATCTTCTCCGCGTTTTCTACTCGTTTGTACGAGCACAATGCGCCAACAATGGAGAATAGAATCCCGCGTGGATTAAATAATGAAAATTTTCCGCCGTTCTCCGGCCAACCGTGAAATTGAATTTATATGCCGGAGGACCGTCATTGGCGTTTAAGTATTATTGCCCGCTACGCCGTTACCTTCCTTCTCGATCTTTTCCAACGCAATAGGTTTCGCGCGTCGCCTCTATAGTTTCTGTTCGATCGCAATCGTCGTGACACGCGACACGGCGCAACCGGACGGAAAAGGAATAGAGAAACGAATGGAAAAATATCCGGTCAGCTTCTGACAACCGAGAAGAACCAACTCGATTATAGGAATAAATGAATTTAACTTGTCAAAATGTGGCGTCAATTGGCCGACGAAAAAGGAAAACGTGACATACTAGCGGTGTTTTTAACCCAAAGCGAATGCACCTCCGAATAGTTGACCCCGTCCGTTTTCGTTTTCGAGACACGGGTCAACGGCGAACGAGAGCATCGTAACTCGTTCGATGAAATTTTAATACCGTTTTCCGAGTGGACGTGTCTATTCGTGGAGCGACAAAACGGGACCATAATGATTTTTTTTGGGGCGAAAACAGCTAAAACCGCTGTGGTTGCCGAGAATCCTTGAAACTTGAAAGCCAACATCGTTTTTCCACGAAATTCAAACGGATAGGCTCGATCTTGCCGCGGCTGGTCGGATACGGCCGAATATGAAATTGCAAGATTTCAATTCGGGATTGCGGCTAGCGGCCGCGTTTAATTGAATTCCGGGATTTTTAACGGGAACGTTGGATAGAGGGGTGGCGCGACCGCGACTTTACGCCGCTGGAAAAATTGCAATTTATTCCTTTGGAATTAAAGCGTCCATTACTTCGTAACTTCGTCTCGTCGTTTGCCGCTGTCCTCGTTGTTCGTTCGCCGCGTCTGACCCTTACGGACTTATTCTACTGTTTCGAGCGCGAGCTGCCGGCAGTTAGCCACCGACACAAACGCGTCTGCACGTTCCATTCTACTCTCGCGCTCGTCGCGTCGTTGCTCTTTCTTTCGCGATAAAGTTACGGCTGTGAAAAGAGCGACCGGCGCCTCTCCGGGCAGTCGCGATTTGTCGGTTGCGGATTATCCGTTTCTCGCGTTTCTTTAACGAGATAAGTAACGCAAAACCGACGAGCGTCGCGAACAAAGAGCGAAAAAACAATTCTCCCGTCGTCGGCATGCGATACGAAAGAGAACTCGTTACTCCTCTTCCATTTTCCGTCTCCGCCTCTCCTCCCTCCGTTCTCCGTTCTTTTTACTTTCACGAAAACAACGTTCCAATCGATCGTTCGCTTTCGATTCCGTTTGCCGCCGACGCAAACTGCTGATCGCCACGCGTCTCCTCCGTCGTGGAAAGCGTAGACGCGAGGGACGAGCTTGGATGACCGCAACGACGCGTCAACGACGCCTGTATCCAAAAGTGTGCCGAAGGAGCGAAAGGAAGGAGGAGCATAGATGCATCCGAGAGAATAGCACGAGATTCGGTGTCGATACGTATGCAAAGCGATTGCGTTTTAACCAACTTCTCGCCAGGAATTTCCATTAGTCTAGGAAGTCCAAGCGGCTCAGGGACAATAGCGAGGATGCGCGGCGGATTTCGGTGAACCGAGCGGTATAGCTGGTTGTTTCGACGAGATCGGCCCGCCGAACGATTTCGAATCAACGCGTCTGGTAGGGCGGATAATTCAATTTGAATATGCATGCGTACCGTGGCACAAACCTCGAAAATCCACGGGATGCGATGTTCTCAGTCGTTCCGTCGATGATTTACGCGCGGCGTTCGGCTACCGTTGGTCGTGTAACACGGGGCGAAGATCCCGCGAACGTCGTTACGTTTCAGCCTGGAATTTGCATCGATCGAGAGCAAACTCACGAGCGTTTTCTTTACGAGCGAGTCGATACCGATGCCCTGTAACGGGCGGCTGTCGGAGGCGGAGTCCAGGCGACTGGCTTCGGATCTATCTGGCACTTAAGAGAGTCTCCACGGTTCTATAACGGTGGGCGCAACGCGACGAGAAACGCCGTAGGGCCTGCGCTAAATTTATGCAAATGCATGCCGGCAATATTCTAAATAAGTAGCGTCGTCTTCGAGATATCTCGGTGCCCTGTGTCGCTTGTAAATTTGGCCGAACGTACGAACCAACGACTAATCACGGAAGAACGTCGTCGTCGTCGTCGTCGTC